GTTTGTCAGTCGTTTGGTTGGTCGGTTGGTTGGTTGGTTGGTTGGTGGTGGTTGGTTGGTTGGTTGGTTTGTTGGTTGGTTTGTTGGTTCGTCGGTCGGTCGGTTGGTTTGTTGGTTGGATGGTTGTTTGGTTGGTTGGTCGGTTGGTTCGTTTGTTCGATTGGTTGGTTGGTTTGTTGGTTGGCTGGTCCGTCAGCCGGCTGACTGGTTGCTTCGTCGGTTGGTTGGTTGGTTGGGTGGTTGGTCGATTGTTTGGTTGGTTAGTTGGCTGGTCGGTTGGTTCGTCGGCCGGTTGGTTAGTTGGTTGGCTGGTTGGTTGGTTGGTTGGTTGGTTGGTTGGTTGGTTGGTTGGTTGGTTGGTTCGTCGGTCGGTCGGTTGGTTGGTTCGTCGTTCGGTTGGCTGGTTGGTTGGCTGGTTGGTTGGCTGGTTGCTTGGTTTGTTTGTTTGTTTGTTCGTTTGTTGGTTGGTCGATTGGTTGGTTGCTTGCTTACTTGTCTGGTTGGTTGGTTGGTTCGTTGGCCGACAGGATGGTCGGTTGGTGGGTCGGTTGGTTTATTGGTTTGCTGGCTGGCTGGCTGGCTGGTTGGTTGGTTCGTTCGTTCGTTGGTTGGTTCGTTGGTTGTTTCGTCGGTCGGTTATTTTGTTGGTTGGTTGGATTCTCGGTTGGTTGGTTGGTCGGTTGGTTAGTTGGTTGGTTAGTTGGCTGGTTTGTCGGCCGGCTTGGTCGGTCGGTTGGTCGGTCGGTTGGTCGGTTTGGTCGGTCGGTCGGTTGGTTGGTCGGTCGGTTGGTTGGTTGGTTGGTCGGTGTGCTGGCTGCCTCGTTGGTTAGTTGGTTGATCGGTTTGCTGGTTGGCTGGTTGGTCGGTTGGCTGGTTGGTTGATTGGTTGGTTTGTTTGTTTGGTTGGTTGGTTTGTTCGTCGGCCCGTTGGCTGGTTGGCTGGCTGGTTGGTTGGTTGGTTGGTTGATTGGTTTGCTTGCTTGCTTGCTGGCTGATTGGTTGGCGTGTTGGTTGGTTGGTTGGTTCGTCGGTCGGTTTGTTTGTTGGTTGGTTGGGTGGTTGATCGGTTCGTTGGCTGGTTCTCGGCTGGTTTGATCGTTGGTTCGTCGGTCGGTTGGTTGGTTGGTTGGTTTGTTGGTCGGTTGGTTGGTTGGTTGGTTGGTTGGTTCGTCGGTCGGGTGGTCTGTCGGTCGTTCGGTCGGTTAGTTGGATGGTTGCTGGCTGGCTTTTTGGTTGGTTGGTTGTTTGGGTTGTTTTGGTTGTTCGATTGGTTGGCTCGTTCGTCGGCCAGTTGGTTGGTTGGTTCGTCGGTCGTTTGGTTGGCTGGTTGGTTGGTTGGTCGTTTTGTTGGTTTGTTGGTTGGTCGGACGTTTGCTCGGTCGGCCGATCGTTCGGTCTGTCGGTTGGTTGCTTGCGCGTTTGGTAGGTTGGTCGGTTGGCAGGTCGGTCGTTTTCTTGGTTGACCTTTTGACCTTTTCGCTGTTCACTCGGACGGAGGAAAAGTCTAGCATGTTTGAAAAACCACAGGGCAGTTTATTCCCAACCATCCTGTGGTGTTGGGTCCTCGTTTTGAAGGGACGGTCCCCGCGTTCACTCCTCCGCCTCCCGCTGACCCCTCCCCCTCCTCCCTCCTCCCATCCATGCCTCTGCACTCCGCATGTTTGTGTTCCGGCGCACCCAGTAAAACGCTTCGGAGCCGAAGGCACCAGCGGCAGGGTCCACACGGCGGCGCCGCCCCATGGCGGCGCACCCTTCACACGGTTCGTGGCCCCAGAGGGAGCTCCGCCGAAGGCCCCAGTGGCAGGGTCCAGATGGCGGCGCCGCCCAACTTTGGCGCACCCCTCACACGGTTCGTGGCCCAAAAGGGAGCTCCACCGAAGGCCCCAGTGGCAGGGTCCACATGGCGGCGCCGCCCCATTTCGGCGCACCCTTCGCACGGTTCGTGGCCCCAACGGGAGCTCCACTGAAGCCCCAATGGCATGGTCCACATGGCGGCGCCGCCCCATTTTGGCGCACCCCTCACACGGTTCGTGGCCCCAGATGGAGCTCCACCGAAGGCCCATGTGGCAGGATCCACATGGCGGCGCCGCCCAATTTTTGCGCACCCCTCGGTTCGTGGCCCCAACGTGAGCTCCACCGAAGGCCCCAGTGGCAGGATCCACATGGCGGCGCCGCCCCATTTCGGCGCACCCCTCACACGGTTCGTGGACTCACAGGGAGTTCCACCGAAGGCTCCAATGGCAGGGTCCAGGTGGCGGCGCCGCCCGATTTTGGCGCACCCCTCAAACGGTTCGTGGCCACAAAGGGAGCTCCACCGAAGTCCCCAGTGGCAGGGTCCAGATGGCGGCGCCGCCCTAATGTGGCGCGCCCCTCACACGGATGGTGGCCCCATAGGGGGCTCCACCGAAGGCCCCAGTGGCAGGGTCCACACAGCGGCGCCGCCCCACTTTGGCGCACCCCTCACACGGTTCGTGGCCCAAAAGGGAGCTCCACCGAAGGC